TCGTGGCTTTTTTGTAATAAGTGGTGAAGATTCATGGTTTGGTAGGTCAAGTGGTCGTGGCATCCACGTCGGAGAACTGACCGCAGGCACTGTAACGCTGCTTTCGAGTGAGAAAAGACGGCCCATTCATTGGTATTTCTTCAGAATTGGTGAGTTCCAGTGCCCTACGCATAGCCTCGAGTTCTGCCAACGTGGACGTCGTCGCATGTGAAGTATTAAAACGCCGAGTTTCCCCTTGAGATGGTATAAACACTGCTCCACCTGAACTGGACGACGTGGCCGAGCCATCTGTGTAAATGTGCACGTTGTTGCTATAATTCAATTCAGTAGGAATAGACTCAGTTGTTTTAGAGCAAGTGTCGGCAAGTCCAATTTTCTCCGCATTCTTGGGATCGCTAAGTAAACACGCGGCCGGCTCAAGCTCCAAGGAGAAAGCAGTGGCTTTGATGCAGGTGCGTACGTCTCAGTAAACGATGAGCGATGCTTGCAGACAGTGGCGCCGTATGTCGTGCGGGGCCTTTCAGTAGTGAGGCTCGCCTGGTGGTAGGAAGTGGTCTTGTCATTTGCCTGAGGTGCATGCACATTGTCTCAGTGATAATATGCGTCTTGATTGAGTGATTTTGAGCGATGGCAATGGTTTAAGCCATAGAAGCAATGCGGGGTAATCCAAGGCGTATCTTAAGTGCTTAGACTTGAACAATCTGAATTGTGCGCAGGTTGGTCTTGCCAGTGTTAGATATTGTAGGTAAGCTGTACCGCGAGAAACCATTAAACAGTGCTCTGTAAAGTTTCAGCATAAATGATATGGGCACTCCCCAATTCTTTCCTGCAAGGAATTTGAACATGTGACATGTTGCGATCATCCGCTTCTTCCGATAGTTCACGTGTGGAGTCCACGACAAGTTTCTGTCTATATGACTCCGAAGAACCTGTGGCTTCTGCTGAACGATATGTGTTCTTCGTTAATCGATATGCTGTAAGCAGAGATTGGTTTCCGCGTAAACGCTACCACTGCACATTTCCCCCAGGACCCTTCGATACCTTGTTTATGAAGGTACCATGACGTCGCTGTAGCAGCCTTCTGAAGGCGGGCGCGAAGCTGAAACGTTATCACACCTGATGTCGAAATATAGATGTCGTCAGCGTAGATAGAGAGTTCTATGGTGCTTGGTAGTCCCATTGTAGTTTTACGGTGCTCGAGTAGTAATGAAGGTTAGATGGAAAAGCGTAGGGCTTTGCACACCTCCCTGAGGGACTCTTCGGCAAGGTGTTGGGCCATTCGCTGTCATGACGAAGAATGATATCAGCTGGAAATAGCTGTACAGCCGCATATATATTTTGCCACCAAGACCTACTGTTTCCAAAGCACAAAGGATGGCTTCATATGTAACGTTGTCGTAAGCCCCCTTAACATCTAAAAACAGGGTGGCATACAACTTCTTACAGGCTTTCTGGTGTTCAACATATGTTACCAGTTCAATAATTTGGACGATTGATAAATGGCTGCGCCTGAATTCAGTCATGAATACTGGATAGATTTGGTAGTGCTCTAAATACCACTCCATTCGTGTTAAAATTATTCTTTCTATTGTTTTTCTCACACAACTGGTAAGCGCGATAGGACGGTATGAGGCATTATCCAAAGGAGATTTACCACTTTTAGTAGTGGAATGAGGTGACTTGACTTCCATGCTTGGGGAACCATACCTTTCTGCCAGGAGTCGTTGTAAAGGCGTAGGAGTGTCTTCCTGGCTTCGACTTCAAGATAACAAAGGGCACGGTACGTAATGCCATCAGGTCCGGGTGCTGAAGAACGTCTGCACAGTACCAGTGCCGCTTCTAGCTCATCCATTTGAAACTAGCACTCCCTACGGGGATCACGTGAGGTTGGTGGATTGTCAAGTGTTTCCATTCTTGTTTCCGTAAAATTGAACTTGCCGGCGATTCTTCTACAGAACAATTCTGCAGCGTCAATCTCTCTGCATTGTAGGCGAAGCGCCAGAGATGTAAACGGGTCTCGCTGACCAAAAGTTGTGCTAAGACCACGGACAGTTCTTCATATCTGTGATAGGGGCTTTCGTGGATCTAACGACTCGCAGAAGGATGTACAACGTTGGCAAGCCAGTTTATCCATGTGCCGCTGCAATTTCTTTTGAATGCGTCTAGCCAGCCTCCAATCATCCCTGCACTTTATTCGTCAATACCTATTTTCTGCACGACGACGTATTGCTCGAAGTTTCTCAAGCTCGATGTCGAAATCGGTGCGCTTGTAACTAGTCTAAAGCCAATGCGTGGTATTCTACAGGGCATCTTCTATCGAGTCCTCTAGGTTATAAGATAAGTCGTCCCTACAACAGTCTTCCATTACCGCTTTGAATTTCGGCCAATCGGTGTATTTGAGGTCTCTGGAGGACTTGGAGCTGGTGAAACCTTCTATCCTTAAGTGTGTTTAAATATGGTCGCAGCCCCGCGTTTCCAGATCCAACAACCAGTGCACTTTTCTGGCTAATGAGTGAGAAACCAATATATGACCCAGGCAGCTGCTATAGGCTAATCCGTGTAAATACGTAGGGCTTCCATCATTACAAACGCAAAGTTCGTACTCCGAGGTAAAGGACACCAACTTTCTACCTCTAGAGTTGACCCTGGAGCCTCCCCATAAGAAATGGTGAGCATATAAGTAACCAATGATCACCCATGGGCTTAGAGTTGATGTCAGAATACCACGTAAGCACTCGCAGTCGAGGCGGCTTGATGCAGATATGCAAGCTATGATAATCGTGAAAGTAACATTCTTTTTCTTCACAGTAAGGCCCACATATTGATTCTCTTCATCAGGGGACACTGCGTGGTGAACGTAAGTGAGGTCACGGCGCATGAATACAATAACCTTGCTGTAGTCTCTATGAGTGGGGGACATAAAGAGCTCATATCCTGACAGTTTGATTGAAGCAGACAGGTTGGGTTCACAAATCGCAATAATGGGGAAACTGTTGACTAATACAAGCTGTCTAAAGTCAGACATGCGTGACTTAAGACCTCAGGCGTTCCACTGAAAGACAGATGCTTTCTTCACTTCCACTCGAAACGACGGTACCTCGCTGACCGTGGTTTTACCCTCAAGCTGCAAGCCCCGGACTCAAGGTGTCCAGCACTTGCAGTGCGGTGTGCGCAGATGGAGTCTTCATATTGCTCATTGGACACGCATGGGATTGGAGCAAGGTTATCACTTGTTGATCTTCATTCGTTGCATCATTGGTTAGAGGCGCCATCAAGGGCGGCGGGATTGGATGGGACTCCGAAGTAGGTTGACCTCGTGGAAGTGAGGGCCACTGTTCGGAAGGTGGCACTGCTATCCCTCCCTGTCTTCTGTTTCGCAGTATTCGTCTTCATTGAGTTCGGTGTTTGTGGGCGATCCGATTTGATGGAAGATGACATCTCTCTATCGGCAGCGCAGTCCTGTCGTGGTCTACGGCCTCGGCACCGTCGTCGGCGAAGTGTAGCGGCAGCTTCCCTGTGCGTTGAATTGTCCCACACCATACGCTTGAGTTCCGCGTGCTCGTTTCGCACCCGCGGGCAATCTTTCGATGAGGCTTCACGAGGGTCTTGGCAGTTTGGACATCGTACCATGGTGGCGCTGCAGGCGTCTTTTCATTGAGATTCAGCGCACTGCGGGCACACAACTTTGTTCTTACAGACACGTGTCCTATCTTGAAACACTTGTAGCACTGCAGTGGATTCGAAACGTATGGTCGCACTGAGTGGCGAACATGGCCAACTTTGACGTACGAGGGTAGGCTGTCTCCCTCGAACACAAGCCTCAAGCAGCGTGAGTTGCCAAGTCTGGTAATGTGCGTGATGCGGGCGCCATCTGAAGCTACCTTTATTAATATGGGCAGGTAGGAAAAGCTGGAATGAAAAACTCCACAGCCAGTAGCGGCCATTGGCGGAACTTTCACACTGCCGATTTCTGTTATGTGCCGAAGGCTTTGTAGCCCACTACGGTGCATACCGTCTACGGCAAGGACGTTCTTCCGAGCGTTGATCCTCACGTCTTTGATCTCATTCGGCGTGGTTTCCTCGAGAAGCACAGAAAAAACTTGCCTATTGAGGAGTCGCAAACAGGTAAGTTTCAAGAATCCATGCAACGGATTCTTGGAACTTGCTTGCACGGATTCTTGGGCAACACCAAGAATCCGTGCAACGATTTTTATGGCTACGTGTGCAGCTCGTGGCGTAGTAAAGGCGGTAGCTTCCACAGGGACGCAGGGTCTTCGGATATGAACAGCATGGTGTGTAGCAAGTGCTGAGGTGCAATCTTAACGGTGGAAACACTTGCCGATTACGCCGTCCGCAGCAGTCTTCATTTTGTAGTTCGATTCATGACGACCTTGAAGTAATCGTCTGATGACTCGAAGCCATCCGAGTACAAATAGGTTGCCTCGCTGTCTATGTCGCTCGGCGCGTTGCCACGTTTTCTGGACGAAGCCCGACGTGATGGTTGCACGCAAGGAACATTCTCAGGTGTGTCCTGAAGCATCACCACAAAGGAGGGAGTGGTAGCTCACAGGATTTGCAGGAAAGCAAAATGAAAAAACTGAGACAAAGGTACAAGCGTTCTGTGAAAGAATAACTAGCTACGTATAAATGTCACTACCACAAAATCGACTTACGTTGCCAAGCAAATGCAAAGGGAAAGACAATATATTCTCAAATACATGCGGGTAAAAATGTGCTTTTATATTCCTAATATTGTAACTTAATAACGCATTTCTAGCAGTAGACCATTCCGTATGCGCCGTTACGAGCACGTCGCATTTTATATATGAAAACTCGCTAACTTAGTCGAAGCCCTGTTATATGTTACAACACTGCATGCATGCCTTTGTTGGCATGTCATTTCGCAGATCTCGTTGTGCCTACCACTTTGTTGTTCCAACAATTGAGCTTGCTTGGATTAGGTGACGACACCTTCATGTCATTGCGCTTCACCCATGCAGAGTGTCTCGAGGCCAAAGAGTATCTAGACAGTCTGTTGAACGACACCAAGAATCCATGCACCGATTTCTACGGCTACGTGTGCAGCTCGTGGCGTAGTAAAAGCGGTAGCTTTCACACCGAGGCAACGAGGGAAGCACTATTCCGGCTCAACAGGACACTGCTCCACCTGGGGCCGATCACGCGCACTGAGGAGATACGCCAGGGAATGCACCTTCTCAAGCCCATATACAGGTGAGCACTGGCTATTGCTATATTTGTGCAAGAGCAATGAAAAGAAAAACGGAATGCGTCAACACCTATGTAGGTGCCACTTGAAGCTAAGCGTTCTTCAACCAAAACGCACTTATTTCACTATTAGAAAAAAGACGATGTTCACGATCTCGCGCTTCAATGGGGAGGAGTTCTTTGCCCGGCCCCATTCTGCTGCAACGAACAAACGAATGTACAACGCTTATAAAAAGTTCTCAGGCCACTTTCTCATGTACTGCTATAGAATAGTGGCCGGGTAAATTTTCACAAACCCTACACATGAATCGAAACGCCAGTTAGATTTCGCTACAATTTACGTTGTGCTTGTTAAATCTCTACACAGTCAGACGTCTAGTCTTCGTTCAACTTGCGCAGCAGTAGCAGTGCTTTGAGGTGTGCACCTGACTGTGGATACGGGGCTTTTGTAAAATATTCATAAATCATCCTTGACTTTTAAGTCACTCTCCCTCTATACCCTTGTCATTTTCTTAGTATGAGCGCCAAAGAACCTTTGAAAAAACATACGTGTGGCCTACGGTGACAGCTACGTACTTTTGTTTTTCTTCAATGCAGCGACATTAACTTCAATGTAGTGGATATGTTGAATCCGTATGTGAGGAAAACGTATAGACCTCATCTTTCCTTTTTAGAACGCCAGGTGGCCGAAATGCTTCAATATTTGAGCCTGGGTTCCGCTACATTCGCATATTTTGATGTTCTGCTCAAGTAATGAAAACATTCTTTCCAACGTCTATTCCCGACAGCGAACCACTAACATTGGTGTGCCCCAAGGCTCCATTTTGGGGCCACTTCTGTTTTTGATTTATATTAATGATTTGCCCAAGTGTCTGTCTTCATCACAATGCATTTTGTACGCCGACGATACCACCATATTCACCTCTCATAAAGACATCTCATCTCTTGTAACCATTTTGAATACTGACTTAGAAAGTATTTTCAAATGGTGTAATACTAATATGTTGTCTATTAATGCTTCTAAAACCAAGTTTGTTGTTTTCACCTCACACCAGCGGAATGTAACATCAGCACCTAATATTACTTTTGGCCCCCACTCTATCTCTCCTTGCTCATTTTCTTCCTTCCTTGGCATCCTTCTAGATTGCAATTTAAAATATCAGAGACATATTGCTCACATAAAAAAAATTAGCATATGGTATAAGAGTCTTGGTAAAAACGCGCCCGTACTTCTCACGCAGCACATTACTATCCCTCTATCACTCTTTCGTACATTCTCATTTTACCTACGGTATAACATGTTGGGGCAATACTTACAATACTCACATTTCGTCTCTTCAAATCGTCCAAAATCATGCTATTCGACTAATTACATCCAGCCCACGTTTTTCTAATGCTAAATTTTTACTACATGAAAATAACATCCTTACTCTCACTGAACTTACTAAGTTCAACCTTGGCATTTTTTTCTACAGACTTCTTAATAATCAACTTCCCCCTACCATTTTCCCGTCTTCTGATCTTGTTATTTATAGTAATACCCGATTTGCACTAAACAATAACTTCCTTCTACCCAGTATACGTACTAATTATGGCAAACAAACTGTTAAATTCACTTCTATCTCATTGTGGAATACTCTTCCACTTAACATAAAATCTATCAGTTCATTTCATCAATTTAAGAAACAGTATAAATTGTATTTGCTTCATGCGGACTAACCATAAGACTTACTGCTTGTTTTATTTGACGTATGTATTTGCTTCATGCGGACTAACCATAAGACTTACTGCTTGTTTTATTTGACGTATGCTTTTGTTTGGTCTGTTTTTTGTATTTCTTTTTATTTGTTTTTTTTTTATTTCCTTTTATTATTTAGTTTTGTATATTGATTGTTAAACTGTTCTATCGCTTTTTTTTTTTTTTGTACTTCACACCTTTATTTTGTTTTCTCTATTTTTTATGCGCTCAGTTGTACGCTTTGATTTATACTTACGCTCCTGTTGCTTTAATGTGTTTAATAACTCATTGCATTTGTACAGGAGGTCCCGATACAGTCACTTGACTATGGGACCTCCTTCTGTATACTAAATTCCTGTCACTTGTACCGAATTTATTAATAAAAATTTCTGATTCTGATTCTTGAATCTCAACTCTGTACTTACCAAGAATAATGAACGTTGCTTTTTCCACCTTTAATCCGCATTCAACTAGTCGATTGTGTTGGCGCTTAAAGGGGCCATGAAACAAAACTTTTCATCATAATCTGCTTTATTTAAGTTTTATGTTTTCTGGCTGGCAAAATTTTAGCCCATCTGGTCAAGCACATAATTTATAATTGAATATGTTTTAATTCAATTTATAATTCAATATTGGGAGCCGTGACGTAACAAGCAGCTTGGTGTGCGAGTGTCACACTGCGGTGAACGATAATTTTCCGTGGTCACCGGTGCTTGAAATCAACATACTCAACTCAACCTTTCTGTCACTTAGCAGTGAACTTGAGCGACTTGCAGCGATCGAATCTTTGGTGCAAAGCAACTGCTCAACTCTATCTGGTGCATGACATCGCACACGCATTGGCAATGGGGTGGTCCTTGGAGGTACGCTGATCTTATAGCCGGCAACTTCTATATATAAGTCTTGTTTGGCCCTCAAATATTTTCTTTTACAGTGTACTTTTCCTACATTTAGAGACATAGTAATCCTTCTGGTATTATATTATACATTTCATTGCAAATCTGAAATAGTGATCTCACCGTGTTGTGGCCCCTTTACTGCAGTAGTGAAACTCCGGCGTCTTGGGCCTCCCCCCCCCTTTCATTTGTGGGCACTATTATTATTCGCATAATTAGCGCCATCGGAGCATTGTCACAATGTATTGAGCCCTTCTTGTGCACACGCAGTGGCTGCTACACCTTCATGTCCAAGGAAATTCCACTGAAAGATGCGTTGGAAGAGACGCAGACGTACCTCGATATCGTGCAGCTGATGCGGGCCTCTAATTTCTTCGATGTGGTGCGCTTCCTGGTGCGACAGTCTCTGCAGGTAGGTACAGTTCATATGAAAAATTCGACACATCCCACCTACCTTGGGAATAGATGTTATGCCATTCGAAAACTGAAAAGAGAAGGGTAGCAAAAAATGCTTGGAAGCTGCTCTTGCTAAGTGGCGATATCATCTTCTAGAAGACGGCAGGTGAGGTCAAGTTGAACGGGAAGAGTTCGCTGGTTTGCCTAAAGTCATGAACGCGTCTGTGGTTATGTGATGACCTGGTAGAGAAGGTAAAGGCTCTCGCATATATATATATATATATATATATATATATATATATATATATATATATATATATATATATATATATATATATAATTTATTTATTTATATAAAACTTAAAAGGCAGAATATGCTACCAGCGAAATACTTAAGCGCTTATGTACAAGTACGACCTTGGCCCCAGAATATTGAGATGCCTTTCCAGTTTTCTCTTTCTCTTGTTTCTCCGATGCGGCATGTGTCACTTGCCATGTTCACATGATCGTGGCTGGCTGACGCCGTGTCACCGCAGATTGGCGTCGCCACGCTGTTCCGGATCCGGTTCTTTTACGAGGATGGTCGGCCCATGATGTACATCAACTCTGGCTTCACGATAACGCAGAAGATTGGCTTCATTTTCTACGGAGGCGAATATCGCAAAACTTTCGAAAGGGTTCTCCAGGTAAGCTCATGTGTGGGGCTCGACCACTCACCTGAATGTGTAGCCTGGCTAAATTTTCAGTCGGATTATCTAATTGGCATTTCACCATATACTTGTGTGCATGGTTAAAGGCAAGAACTTGAATTTTTTTAATATAAAGTAGGAAAAGAAATTTAAACCACCTCCCACAAAAGGGAACCATGTGAAGCAGCACATGGGTCGACTTAAAGTTCCATTCTTCACGAGCACCTTGCCCGAAGGTTAACGCGTCGTTGCAACTGGAGCACACCGTTAATTCACTGTAGTTTATTCGCGCGTCTGCAAAATCTCGTTCCCCGACGCATCACACTCTTTGGCCGAGTTTGTTGCCACCTAGACTAATCCAGTTGACAAGCTCTTTAGTACTTTAGAAGACCGTGGGGCTTGGAATATTGGTAAAGCATGATTATGAGTGAAGTTCAGTGCAACTGCAAGGAATGGACAAAAGCGAAGACGTCTACCACTCGGCCTGCTCTCTTCTCTTCCCTGCGGTCGGTGACGCTGAATCGCACTCATTACCTACCTCGTAGTAGCCCTCTGCACCCTGTCGCATCCAGCATCGTGCTATTTAGGCCTAGAATTTGACACTACTCTCGTCACAGCATGATAGCCAACTGAAACTTTTGCTCCGGTAAGTAAGAAAGCCGAATACGAAGGCACGATACTAGTTTTACACACTCTCTCGAAGAATGTGTGGGCACTTTCCATATCCTGCAAACCCGCATACCTTGCGCGAAGTCGCAGTGAGCACGCAGTGGTATTTGGAAGAGTGCGATGAGCTTAGGCCACTTGGAGATTCATGGTTGCAAAAAATGACCACAGAAAGACGTGGGAACATTGATCTATCCTGTTTGTTCTCGTGGTAACATGCCGAAATACATAATGTGTACTCAATGGAACAATTTTAAAAGCTCCACCGCCTCGAAGTGAACGAAGAAGATAATAAATACATTAGCTATCTAGCAAGAGGAGCTTTCACGAAGAATCTCAAAAACAGAATGGAACTCGTTGAGATGCAAATTACAGAAAAGAGAAGTGATGCTTTGCACAATTTTTTTGCCGTAGGCACTCAGAGTTGCATAAAATACAAGAGTACAGCTTTATTAGTAGATAGTTACAGGGCGGATCTGAACGTACCAGCGCGTGTTCTGGTAAAACAATAAATTGCACATGAGGCTAGTGCCTCCTCCGATTTGTCACGTACATAAATCTTTGTACTTCATAACATTGACAGAACGTAAAAAATGAGCCTGGGGTAATCTAACTCAATCAGTCCCATACAATATGGGAGCGAGCACAAGTACGAGAGAATTGACGAGAGAAGAAGAGCGCAGAACTTCGTCTCATACAACGTCTCATGATTTTTCTCAGAGCCACTATGATCTGTGTTTCAACTTCTTCGATTCGCAACCTTGTTGAGTGCACTTGAAGTTTAAGCGAAGCTGGATTGCCATGGTTGCTGTTGCAGCTTTCAGTTAAACTTACTTGACCTCTCACTAACTCATCATGCTATGAGGGAGAAATTTATCTAATCAAAACTATTCGGCCCGTCGCTTGCAAGGATAGGAGAGCCACTATTTTTTGTTGCTTGGAATTGAAAGCTCCAATGCTATATACCACGTGCTTACAGGAGGTTTTCAGAGGCCTAGAATGAGAACACTTAGGTATAAGAGTTAATGGAGAGTACCTTAGTAACCTGCACATTGCATTACTGAGTAACTCAGGGGACGAATTGCAACTCATGATTATCGAGTTACACAAGGAGAGCAGGAAGATGATTCTTTAAATTAATCTGTAGAAAACGAAAGTAATGTACAACAACCTCGGAAGAGAGCAGCGCTTCGAGAAAGGTAATAGTGCTCTTGAAGCTGCAAAAGACTATACCTACTTAGGACAGGTAATAACCGTGGAGCCTAACCACGAGACTGAAGCAACTAGGAGAATAAGAATGGGGTGGAGCACATTTGGCAAGCACTCTCACATCATGACAAGTAGATTGCCACTATCTCTCAAGAAGAAGGTGTAGAGAAAAGGAGTTTTAATTGAGCAATGTGAGGAACTCAGATCAACCAGGAAATATAGGATGCAGCTGACATCAGTGATTTGGAAGCCAAGATCAAAATGTTGAGGAAAGGACGAGCCGCCGCGCCCATGGCGAAGCCCACCCGTTGACCTTTTCTTTATTTTGAACACTGATCTAATTCCCTGATGATGATAGCGACTATCTTCGTTGTTCACACAATATTTAACATCCTCCGCGCCCCCGCAATTGTTGATGAACAACACTAACACACACTAAGTTTGAAGCACACGCTGTTCAAGAGTTCTTGTCAGTCCAGGTCAGTCCATGTAAGAAAATCCGTGATATCCAACCGCGTCTGCTTTTCCAGTGGTGCTTTCGGCGTTTGTTCAACACTCGTGCTTCTGAACGCGTTGACCTTGATAAACCTGCATTGTCGTTGAGCAAGGTTTCTTGGCATGAAAATTCGCAGATAATACTCTTCCAGAAAGAGCTCGTGTAGCTATACTTGAGTAACATTTTCCTCTGCTTTCTGTTCGTTGCTGCATTTACCTTGTAACCCTTCTGCTTCCGCCTTCGTCTGATCTCTCTCATGCGCCGCTGTTGCTCTGAGTCAGCATTTATCAACTTTGTGGAAATAAGATATGCGTTGCTTACTCTCTTCAATATTAGCTTCTGTAGCTTTCTCGAAGAACCTAAGCTTTCAGCAGCGCAAGGGGCTGTCTTTTGTGTCGTCGTGGCCTTTTGTTTCTTTCTTTTGTTTCTTGTCGCTTTGAGAATTGACCTTGATTTTCGCTTTGAGAATTGGCCTTGATTTTCCTCCATCGGGCACTTGTACGCAGGGCGAAGAGGACTTTGCAACGTCTAAATCTGCAAGCTTTGGCTTGGACGTATCCTGAATATCTAGTGGGTGGCACTTTGGGTCTACAAAGTCTTCCCTCTTTTCAATCATTCCAATTTCAAGCCTTCAACCTCGAACACCGGAGTTCTAGATGTCTTGACAACATGTTCATGGGTATGGCACGCTGACGACAGCTCTGCAGGCGTGGGCCGGGTCCCTGTAAGTAGCGGTTGTTCTGCACTGGCTCCTTCGATGGTCGTTACTTCAGTGAAGGTCCTGATCGATTGGCTTCCACCACGCTCAAGAATATGTCCTGAGGCTGACTCGACTGGCATCTGTGCTACAAGATTGCTGTCTAATAGGCCTTTGCTGGATGGTGGTGACGCAGACGCAGAGAGTGCCTTCCTTTCTGCCTCCATTTTAATCTGCAGTCTTGTTGTCCCCAAACGAGCCTGCCATACCTTCGGTGCGTCAGCGATTTTATAATCGGTTCTGACTTTCGCTAGAATAATCTTGTGCTCGTAAACAGGTTCCTCCATCTTTGCTTCCAAGTAATCGATGTCAACTGTGTCCTCTACTTCCTTGTCGATTCTTTTGAGTTCCTCATATTGCTCAATCAAAACTCGGTGAATACGTCGTAACTCACAGATTGGTGGGCGATACAATCCGAAGACGTTCGATATCTGCAAAGACCTGCGAGACGGTCCTTGCGTGTTCGACTCCACCTTCCGTAGAGGGCCTCCATGGTCCAGTTCAGTGTCGTAAACGGGAGAGATCACTGGCCGGCCGGGTAACGAGGCAAAGTTGAAGTCAACACGGCATCGATTGCAGCAGGTTCGCACAACAAATATATGTCACTTGTCGGGCAGTCGTTCTTCACAATCTTGTGCACATTTCACTGGCCGGCCATCGTCGTGAAAAGCGAGTCAAGACTGAGCCGAAGAAGACGTGAGGGCTCCCGTCTCGCGAGGCTCCAGATGATGCCTGCACTCACGGGGCCGCACTGGTTAAATGCACGTTATCTACCTATGGACTGTTTTCACTTGTGAACATCGGGCCGTCGTTTTGAAGGTAGGGTGAGTCAGGATGAAGCCGAAGTAGACGTGAGGGCTCCCGTCTCGCGAACCTCCAGACGATGCCAGCACTCACGTCAGTCCATGGGTGTTACTAGTAGTCTTAGTGGCAATTGAAGTTGGGCTTTCAGGTCACAGCAGTGGTTAGGCCTCACATATCAGCTTTAGCCACGGCGGCTTCACAAAAAGTCCTCGAGGCTGCAACTGCGGTCGAAATCCGTGAAGCCCGCTCCGTCTCACCTCCAAAGGTGTTTCCTCCCGGGTTTCAGCACCAGAACGTTGAGAAAAGTACGAGCCACCGTGCCCTTGACAAAGCCCACCCGATCGACATCTTCTTTATTCCGAACACTGGTGCTCTCTTAATGATGATAGTAGCGTTCTTTCTCGTTCACGCAATATTTAACAGAAGGTATATAACAGCTGCATCTTGCCGGTAGTTAGCTATGGAGCAGAAACATGGAGACTTACAAAGAGGGTGCAACTTAAATTGAGGACGACGCAGCGAGCATTGGAAAGGAAAATGGTAGGTGTTACCTTAAGAGACAAGAAAAGAGCAGAGTGGATTAGCGAACAAAATGGGGTTAAGGATGTAATAGTTGAAATAGAGAAGAAGAAATGAACATGGACCGGGCATGTAGCACGTATACAGGATAACCACTGGTCATTAAGGGTAACTAACTGGATTCCTAGAGAAGGCAAGCGGGTTAGGGGGGGACATAAGGTTAGGTGGGCAGATGAGATTAGGAAGTTTGCGGGTATAAATTGGCAGCAGCAAGCACAGGACCAAGTTGACTGGCGGAACATGGGAGCCCTGCAGTGGATATAGTCAGGCTGGTGATGATGATGATTGAAAGCGTGTTGCTCTTTGTATATTCGTCTTAATATGCCATTCGTTGTTTGCGCATGGACCTTCTTAGCTCATGTATCCCGCGTTGCATGATGAAAAGTACCGCTTGACAATACCCTCTTTTTTCCGTGTTTATTTTCCGCCAGCTCTGGCTCAATCAAAGCGACGTCGATGACCACGTGGACCTGCTCAGGAACATGGACGTCGAGGTGGAGAAGATCTTCGAGAAGGGGAACGATACCGAGGTGCGCATGTCTTTGGACCGAGCAGTGAGAGACGTGGTCAGCGGAGTCACGACTGAGAATTGGGTCACTGCAGTGAGAGACTCTCTTCGCCAAGGCATCGTAGTCTCGGCCACGGATGATATAATAACCACTGGCTACAACATATACCAGCCCGCTATGCAAGTAAGTAAACGATCGCGGACGTGCCTCAATTCGACGACGCATTTTTTAACAGAGGACAGGATGTGCTTTGAGTTGCTGTACGTCTCCATGCAGTAAGGGAAAGCTGACTATCGACGTAAGGGAATGATCTTTCTCGCTAATGTTTGTACCAATAAAAGGTGATTTATTGTGACGAAAAATTGGCAGATCTCACGTACAGTGGGAATCGATGGTATGCGAAGCGCGAATGAGAAAGGTTGATATGTCACTTTAAAATCTGCACAACGTTATGAAGTGGAGGTAAATGATGCCGTACATGACTTCCGTGTCATGATTATCATGTCTGGATGTGTCGTTTACCTACGTCACCTCTTTACGTCACGCAATACAAAATTTCGTATATGTGAACCTAGTGAAACCACCGTGAGCACGCTATGAGCGTGGTATGTTGTCATGTTCTTACATGACACGCGTGTCAGGATTATCAGGTTTGCACCAGTCATATACTTTCATCATTCATTGACGTCATGTAACACCACATTTGGTATATGTAGAGCAAGCAAAACGGTCGTGAACGCATCATGAAGGGCATAGTATACTCCAATGTAGCGTTGACGCGCGTACACACTGGGCACAGCGACGCTACGTTAGCAAAACGTGAGCACTCTATAGTATGACTCCAGGTGCGACTGGCGCGACCAGCGTCCGTCGGCGCGAAATGCGACATTCTACATTTCGCGCCGATGCGTTACCCACACAACACTGATTCTCCATCTTTTCGTGACGGAGGGACGTCGGACGCGCTGAAATGCGCATGCGTCAAAGCAACGCAGCGCGGCGCGCGCCGGCCAGTATATGGCAGGGCTGGTGCCTGGCGTGGCAACGCCAGCGTGACCCGACGAAATGAACGCCGGTGAGCACGCACACCTCATCACGTCGAAGTGTATTGGCGCCTTGACTGCGGCATGTTGTCATGTTCTCACATGAGACGCATCTCATGATTATAATGTTTGCACCAGCAACGCCTCCTAGATTTCCCGTGCATGCCGGATGAACGCGAAACGCCGGTCATCTATGGCGATGCTGCTCTACGTAGGGGTAAGAGTCAATGTGCTTAGCCTTTAAGATCGGCAATTTTGGCGTTTGCTACTAATTTCAGAGGATGACTTCTATTAAAAAGTCGCTTGTTAAATGATGGCATCACTTACGTAGGGTTAAATATAATTACGTTTACGCCTTTTTAAAACTTTTTACGTTATTTTTGTTGCATGTAAGCTCCAAAAACGTAAAAACCTATTTGAAGACACCCCTACTTGAAAGGCACCACCACAGTAGTTCCGAACGACCGCCGCTTTCCAATTGACCGCCGATAATCCGGCAGGCATGGGAAATCTAGCAGGCGTTGGCACCAGTCACATACCTTCATCATCCATTGACGTCACGTAATACCAAATTTGACATATGTAAAGCTAGCGAAACGGTCATGAGCGCATCATGACTGTGGCATGTAGTCATGCTGTTACATGCACACATCTCATGACTATCATGTTTGCGCCAGTCACATACCTTTGTCATCCATTCACATACTATAATACCAGATTTGGTATATGTGACACTAACTAAACGCCAACGAGCGCATCACGAGCGTGACATGTAGTCATGTTGTTACATGACACGCATGTCATGATTTTCACGTTAGGGTCTGTCGCCTTTGTTCGCCATGAAATCATGTCATAAAATACCAGTTTTGCAACATGCCATGTGGACGAAACCACCGCAAGAGCTGCAGGACCATGAAATGTAAATCATGACATCCATATCATGATTTTCATGTTATGACTAGTCAAATGTGTTCTTCATACAGTCATGTTAGGCCATACCAAGTTTGGTATTGACATCTTTATCAAAACGGCCAGGAGAGCTAAAGTCGTAGGCGGATGCATAGATAGATAGACAGACAGATAGATAGATAGATAGATAGATAGATAGATAGATAGATAGATAGATAGATAGATAGATAGATAGATAGATAGATAGATAGATAGATAGATAGATAGATAGATAGATAGATAGATAGATAGATACGCGCAAAGTCACCGAAGTTCGCTAAGAAATGCTTCACATTTAAAAGTAAGGTATGTATTAACAGATCAAAGAGTGCAGACGCCTCCACGTTAACTTCCTCAGAAGAGTAGTGGTTGAGGCTCGTGCTCGTAACATCGGTGTCCTCTGTCATCCTGCCTCCTTTTAGTCATAACACTACATATAGTGAGCAGGAAGCGACGCGGTTACTATAAACGACCCCTTCCCGTGTGCCCCTACGTTTTTCAAATAAACGTAAAAAAATGGCAATGACAAGGGCAGTAATTTCATGACATCTGCATGTGCTGCCTGTTGACACCCAGGCTAGTGGCCTACATATTCATAACAATACTTGCGAACCTTGGTTTCAGCACGAAGAGAAAGTGAAAAGCTTGAATCGGGCTTTCTTTGGGTGCTTTCCGAAAGCAATGAACGGAGGAGATTCGTCGGTAGGATTGTTATGGTAATGTGTACGTTTCATTAAACAGTCCGAATACTCATTAAAAAATGCCGCGTGCATTTGGGCTTCCCCGCAAAGGACATCGAAAGATGATAGTCTGTCTGGAGGCACTGCGTGAAATATGGCGCCATCTGGCAGTAATATAAAGACACAAAATTTATTTAAGAACACAAAGCCACACGTAGGTGACAGCACCATGTAGATGTATTATTTATCGAAGCGTAGCAATTGCCCACTTTTCCTTTCATAGCGCCGCATTGTCAGCGCAGCTTTCTGAAATTACGTATCCGTGAATTTTAGAAATAAAAAAAAACACTGCCCAACACTTACGTATGAACATTGTGCCTCAATATGCGTAATATTTGCTTTTTTATTGGCAATGTTCACAAGAGTTAACGCATCCACCAGATAAAAATGGGTGGGCTTTCAGTATGGGCTCAAACTTTCGTGGGGTGGCTGAATCATTGGTAGGACACCAATAGACAGACCGAAATTTAAGTATCCCAAGAAAGAATATCGTCTTTAAAACAATGCCTCAGTTCTACCATGCAGTCTCTAATAGCGAAAAACAAATGGGTGGAGGGGGAGGGGGCTATTAACTTCCCACCTTCATTGAGTCTCACAAGGCTTCGATTCATTACTAGACCCGCAAGCAGCTAGTAGTAGGAGCCTTACTGGTACCAAGATGGTTAAAGTATACTAACAGTATAAGCAAAACTGCCCGAAAATGACGTGCATTTGTAGCCTTGTAGGCACGTGTGCTCAGATTTGGGTGCACGTTAAAGAACCCCAGGTGATCGAAATTTCCGGAGCCCTCCACTACAGCGTCTCTCATAATCATATGGTGGTTTTGGGACGTTAAACCCCACATATAAATCAATAACTTGTAGCCTTGTTCAAAGCACCCCATATGTAAGGGTGCAAATAGGGTGTTTTGAGGGTGTTTTATTCACAAACATATCAACTTTAAAAATGGAGTGTAAAAGGGTGTTCATATAGGTGCTTTTAATGCGTACACCCGTTTTACACCTTTTAGGGTGTAATGTTTTTTAGAGTGTACGATTCCAATGCGACATTTCCGAAAACGCAGAAAGTGGTGACTCGTGGACTGCGTGACGCCGTGTTTTACCTGGCGACCAACTTGGAGGCAGAAGTGCTTCGCGTAACCGCTACTAGAAGCGCAATCTCTGCGAACGCCGTCAGCAAGGGACACCACTGCCTTGTGTTCACCCACCAGTGTCTGGCGCTCACGTGGGCGTACCTGGCCGCACGGCTGCTCGCGCCATTCGGCAGCACCGGTGTCATCTCGAACATATTCAAGTTCATCAGAGAGGTCATCGATGAAGGCAACGAAGTGTTCAGCTGGATGAAGGTACACAGAAGCATTGCCTATTGAGCATGTCGATACATGCCGCTGTTTTCAGAAACGCTAGGAGACGAGACAAGGGCATACGATACATAAGCACAGACGAGCAATATTTTAGCTGCAGGAGCTTCGCTTACTTAACGACGTGGCTGTCTGATCGTGTGGTGTGTTGGGGCGATATGGTGTGCGAAATTTCACCATATGTTGTTGCATTGGAAGAGACAATTTGTTTTTTGTTTGGTTTGCGCATCAGTCTTGCCCTCTGTCTTTCTCTCTCTCTCTCTCTCTCTCTCTCTATATATATATATATATATATATATATATATATATATATATATATATATATATATATATATATATATATATATATATAGAGAGAGAGAGAGAGATATTCTAACCTAACTTTTTCAATTTATTTTTCCGTATTTCTTTTAGATTCACTGACAAAAGCTGTCAGTTTGCAACGCTCCGTAACAGACCATACCGCAATAATCGTGAGGCTTCCCGGTCGCTTGAGAAATTTTTCTTAGGGATTACGTGCAGAACGCGAGTAGTCAAGTGTTTTTTTGAACAATTTTCGCAAGTGCCAGCGATAACCCCAGAACATTCGATGCCACGTGTATAAATGGTGACACAGCTCCACGAGATCAGTTTTATTGACGGCCGACCCTCTGTTTGCCGCTATCATGGTATACAATGTGTATTGATGCAGTATTATTTTCCGTTTCCCGGCCACAAGCCTGGCCAAATGATGAATCTCATCTTTTGTACACCGAGTGCTGCCTTCGTCATCTTCACGACCATAGGGCAATGCGTTTGACCAAAATGTGCATAGTCTGCGCATCTGTACCGAATAATCTTGTGTCGTCGTGTAGCATTTCTGGGAACTAACGCGAGCCACATGTCGTAGGTCTTGCTGAGAGTAACATATATTTTTGCTGACTGATGGACGACCGCTTCGTTTTACAGATGCAGGTATCTTGCTTGGGCAATAGTTCCTGAATGTTCATTCCTTTTATAGCTTCGAATACTTTATTTCCGTTCTGAACAAAAACTAGCTTGTTTTATTTTCTTTGTTATATGCAACCCACTGAATGTAACTTGACCAACAAGGCAAAGGAAGGTATATGATGCGTTAGTATTTGTCCTCAGCGGTAGTGTAGTAATTATTTCGTAAAGTGGATTGAACTAAGTGAACGAAAAAAAAAAACGTCCTTCCGTCTTTGGGTTCTGATCTCTCAGCATTTCCACTGTTTCCCAATGTTCGGGGGTCAGATCTCGACCTGTCTTCATCGCAATGTTATACACCGTTGCACTGTATGGTTAATATATCCATACCAACTTGCCCACCTCACAGTCCCACGTAAGACATTATTCCTTGCGTTACAAGCGACCATACGCAACGTAAGTGGATGATATAACCTTGTCCCTGCTTGTGCGAGACGTATAGTGGTGGTCGCCTCGTTCCATTGCAGAACACTACTACTATCAAGACCGCGGTGTCGAAGACGTCGCTGGATGTCATTGAAGGTGAAGGCTACAATATATCTCGCGTCGACTATACGGGCCCGCAGCCGCCGCTGGACGAGTCGGATTCGTTCCTGAAGAACCTGGTGGAAGCCTTCAGGCACCACCAACTGGTGATGGTAACACACCCGCCCACACGCCTGGAGATGAAGCTCTCGGATCTCGAATTTTACAACAGCTTGACCTACGTACCAGAAAGGAGGTCCATATTGGTTCCAACCATGTACCAGGTTTGTAACCATTGGCATATTTTGTAATTGAGTACGGCTGGAACCAGACATTTAAAACAATTTTTTTTTTCAAAAATAGATGTTCTAAATTTCAAACCACAGTTCTTTCATCTCTGATGTCTCGGCAATTGAAAGTTATGAAGCTTTAACAAATAACGTTTTTTGTTTATATTAGGTGGTGTTCTTTTCACTTGACACCCGCTAGAGTGCTGTAATTAAGTACTAGTTTGGCATACACAATTTGCATGCTTTGTCATAGTTCACTTCAGCGTTACCTAATTTGAACATTTGCGATCGAAGCAATGCGGAGTTTCAAGGAATGTTAACACCAGCCCAGGCTCAATGGGCAAGTTATCCAGGGTACCCCGTCCTCAATGTCCTTCAAGCTGACCACATTAACAGAAACATCATAACAGATGCGACATGTGAATGTCACGCACTCGCATTCCTTCGTTTTTTTCATAGCTGGTCCTATTGACACTGCATCTGTCACATGTATAGGAGAAGCCACGCCACCAAACTTCAGCTCGGCCATTATAACGAAACCTCCGTAAAGTTGTCTGTGCTCAGCTTGATGGTTTGGTCAGCTTTGGGCTTTAACATGTCGCCATGGCCACTCACGTGGTTGACAACAAGCAAAAGAGGGAACATACAAGAAGAGACACCATTGTCTTCTCTTCTAGACCCCACTCGTTTTCATTGCGTTTTTGTGCTCAGTTGTCGTAGTGGTTATGAACCGTAGGACGATGTGAAATGAGTACCCCCGCAGCAAGCACTCCCAAGTTCGAACAATCAGACTAAATCAAGTAAAACGGAGAGCAAAATATTGTGCTCCTAAGATGTCTACTAATCCTGCCGCACAAGGACGCTTGAGACTGTCCGCTTTCGTTACACTATTATTATACTGTTCAACGTTATGTTTCCTACTAAACAACTGGATTAGCAGTTCTTTGTAACCACCCGGGCAGGCAAGCCCAAAAGTCGTAACTGATGACACGACATAAACAGTTTCGGCTCTGCAATCATACAGCAGTGAACGACTTCGCTATCGCTGCATTTTCTATCATTGTTAACGTTTGCAGAAAAATGTCAACATTAGTTTATGCTAACTATACCAACAACGTTTTGCATATCGCCAACTGCGGCGTCAGTACGTCGCATTACTGAAGGACGCGCTGATATCTTGTTATTTTTCGGTCTGTTTTTCCGCATAGCCATTGCAAGCGTAAAGAACAGTGACTATGAAACGTGAAAAGCACACGCACACGAGTAGGAACTGTACTAGCATTGGAGAAGGAGTATTGCTACGAGCAATAGGAATACCACGCAGTGCAAGTAGCACTCTGTGGTGTCCATATTTGCCCCCTCGGTCGGTCCGCCGCTTAGCGCTAAACCAAAGATGATTAATTGGTTCTAAGACGCAACCACAATACTTGGCACCATAACGCTTTTACAAAAGTCCTGCTTCGGCAGGTTATCTTTTCACTTCGGTATCACTCCACGTGGTTGCGTAATTGACCTCGTTACCGCAGGCCGGAACCGTCAAGATGTTCAACGAGTACTGGCCGGCGGCACGGCATGTGTTCTTCGCCCGCTTCTGTCTGCTGTGGTGCGACTCGAACGATGGACCGTCCCCTATCACGCCCCGGGAAAAATGCATGCTACCCCTGTACAACTTGCAGGAGTTCCATGAGCAGTACGGCTGCAAGTCGGGCGTGGCACCGTTTTGCAAGGTCTAGAAGTGTGTCGCCTCCAAGCCATATATTGCGCGCTACTGCGAGTGCTAGCACTCCACAATCACGTTACTATGTTTTATTATGCCAGAAGGCATCGTATAAGCTTTTGCTTTTTGGGGACTTGTTGCTTCGCTTCTTGGTTTCTCAATATATCCCAATGAGGAGTGCCTCACTGGCCTATTCTATCATATCTAGAGTGGCAATGTTTTGTACGCCTCAACAGACCGTAATGTTATTGCCGAGAACCAGTTCATCTCTTGACAATTTCTTTAGAGTACTTAGTTTCATGTTTATAGTTTAGAACACATATCGTCACATCGGCAACTTCTAAGAATAGGTAATCTTCAAGCTTTTGGTTTATAGAGTTTGTCGTGCGATGTCTTTCTTGCAGGCTGCGTGAGTAGTGTGGCAATGCAATGTCTGACAGTCCAATCATTGTCACATGCTGTTGCAAAGCACAGTACACTCACTTGATTTGATGTATTGTGACATACAAAAAAAAGAGGCCTAATATTTAGACGATCAAAACGACCACCAATAAAGAAATCTAGAACTAACAAGCTCAGTATTCTTGAAGTGTCTTACACCAGCCTCGTATAAGTGTTTCGTGCTCACTATAATATGTTAGATCTCATTGTTATTGTGTCTAACAAAAAAACGAGCCCTTCACTATACACTTCCTCCCTTCAGTCATTAACGAGTGTTTAGTTCGCATATATACCCAATAAAGTGGACGGGGGCATACCCGCCATGGAAGCCCAGTAGGTAGAGCATCGAACGTGTTATTCGAAAGTCGCCGGTTTGGTTCCTGCCCACAGCAAGTTATCTTTTCATCCACTTTCCTTTGTTCACATTTACATTACAATTAGGTCTAATAACTTCCCCTATACTTCCTTCCATCATTGTCTGTTATATCTCAATATTATTTTGCCTAACAAAAAAAGAGCCCATAGGCATGCACTTCCTTTATACACACACACACGCATATATATACATATATATATATATATACATACATACGTATATATATATATATATATATATATATATATATATATATATATATATATATATATATATATATATATATATATATTATCAACATCTACGTCCACTGCAGGACAAAGGCCTCTCCCATGTTCCGCCAGTTAACCCGGTCCTGTGCTTGCTGCTGCCAATTTATACCCGCAAACTTCTTAATCTCGTCTGCCCACCTAACCTTCTGTCTCCCCCTAACCCGCTTCCCTTCTCTGGGAATCCAGTTAGTTACCCTTTATGACCAGCGGTTATCCTGTCTACGCGCTACATGCCCGGCCCATGTCCATTTCCTCTTCTTTATTTCAACTATAATATCCTTAACCCCCGTTTGTTCCCTAATCGACTCTGCTCTCTTCTTGTCTCTTAAGGTTACACCTACCATTTTTCTTTCCATGTCTCACTGCTTTGCGTCGTCCTCAATTTAAGCTGAACCCTCTTTGTAAGTCTCCAGGTTTCTGCTCCGTAGCTAAGTACCGGCAAGATACAGCTGTTATATACTTTCCTCTTGAGGGATAGTGGCAATCTACCTGTCATAATTTGAGAGTGCTTGCCGAATGTGCACCACCCCATTCTTATTCTTCTAGTTACTTCAATCTCGTGATTAGGCTCTGCGGTTACCTGCCCTAAGCAGACATAGTCTTTTACAACTTCAAGTGCACTAATACCTATCTCGAAGCGCTGCTCCTTTCCGAGGTTGTTGTACATTACTTTCGTTTTCTGCAGATTAATTTTAAGACCCACCTTTCTGCTCTGCTTGTCAAACTCCGTAGTCATGAGTTGCAATTTGTCCCCTGAGTTACTCAGCAATGCAATGTCATAGGCAAAGCGCAGGTTACTAAGGTATTCTCTATTAACTCTTATCCCTAACTGTTCTCATTTTAGGCTTCTGAAAACCTCCTGTAAGCACGCGGTAAATAGCATTGGGGAGACCTTGCCTTACACCCTTCTTGATTGGTATTCTGTTGCTCTTTTTATGAAGCACTATGGTAGCAGTTGATCCCCTGTAGATTTCTTCCAGAATGTTTACATATACTTCATCTACGCCCTGATTCCGCAGTGTCTGCATGACGGCTGATATTTCTACTGAATCAAACGCCTTCTCGTAATCTATGAAGGCTATGTATAGTGGTTGGTTATACTCTGAGAATTTCTCTATTACCTGATTGATAGTATAAATTTGGTCAATTGTTGAGTAGCCTGTTCGAAATCCTGCTTGTTCCGTTGGTTGATTGAATTCTAATGTTTTCTTTACTCTGTAAGCAATTACCTTTGTAAATCGCTTGTATACTACAGAGAGCAAGATGATCGGCCTGTAATTCTTCAATTCCTTCTCATCTCCTTTCTTATGTATTAAGATGATGTTAGCGTTCTTCCAAGACTCTGTACCCTTCCCGTCAGGAGACACCTCGTAAACAGGGTGGCTAGTTTTTCTAACACAATCTGTCCTCCATCTTTCAGCAGATCTGATGTTTCCTGATCCTCACCAGCAGCTTTGCCTCTTTGCATGCTCTCCAAAGCTTTTCTGACTTCTTCTATCATTACTGGTGATCTGGGTTACTGCTAGTTCTTATAGTATTAAGGTCGTGGTTGTCTCGGCTACCGTACAGATCTCTGTAAAACTCCTCCGCTATTTTAACTATACTATCCATATTGGTAGTTATTTTGCCTTCTTTGTCCCTTAGGGCATACATCCGACTTTTGCCTATCCCAAGTTTTCTCTTCACTGCTTTGACGCTTCCTCCGTTTTTCAGAGCGTGCTCCATTCTCTCAATGTTATACCTTCTAACATCGCATACTTTACGTCTATTAATCAGCTTCGAAAGCTCTGCCAGTTCTATTTTGTCTGTTGTACTTGACACTTTGATGCTTTGACGCTTCTTAATTAGGTTCTTCGTTTCCTGGGAAAGCTTGCCAGTGTCCTGTCGAACTACCCTGCCTCCTACTTCCACTGCACACTCCGTAATGATACTCGTCAGATTATCATTCATTGTATCTACGCTAAGGTTGGTTTCCTCACAAGAGTCGAGTACCTGTTCTGCAGCGACACTCTGAATTCCTGCACTTTCCCTCTCAGTGCTAGCTCATTGATTGGCTTCTTGCGTATCAGTTTCTGTCGTTCCGTCTTCAAGTCTAGGCGAATTCGAGACCGTACCATTCTATGGTCACTGCATCGTACCTTGCCAACCACTTCCACATTCTGCACAATTCCTGGGTGTGCACTAATTTTAAAGTCTATTTCGTTCTTATTTTCGCCATTAGAGCTCCTCCATGTCCACTTGCGGTTTTCTCGTTTTCGGTAGAACGTATTCAAAATCCGTAAATTATTGCGTTCTGCGAATTCTACTAGTAGCTCTCCTTTGGCGTTTCTAGTACCGATGCCATAATCTCCTACTGCCTAGTCTCCAGCCTGCTTCTTTCTACCTTTGCATTAAAGTCGCCCATCACTATAGTATACTGTGTTTTTACCTTACTCATTGCCGATTCCACGTCTTCTTAGAAGCTTTCAACTGAAGCGTCATCATGGCTGGATGTAGGTGCGTAAGCCTGTACTACCTTCATCTTGTATCTTTTATTCAGTTTAATTACAATACCTACCACCCTTTCATTAATGCTATAGTATTCCTCTATGTTGCCAGCTATGTTTCTGTGAATTAGGAACCCCACTCCCAGTTCTCTTCTGTCTGCCAAGCCCCGATAGCAAAGGACGTGCCCATTCTGTAGCACAGTATAGGCCTCATCTGTCCTCCTAACCTCACTGAGCCCTATTATATCCCATTTAACACCCTCTAGCTCCTCGAATAGTACAGCTAGACTTCCCTAACTAGATAAGGTTCTAGCGTTAAACGTTGCCAAGTTCAGGTTCCAATGGCGGAGATTCTTGGCAGAGATTCTTAGCACCCTCTGCTGCGTCGCAGATCTGACCGCCGCCATGGTCAGTTGCTTCGCAGCTGCTGGGAACTGAGGGCCGTGAGTTATTTGACGTATGCATGTGGGAGGTAGTGGCCAGATACTGCACCAGGGTGGCCAATCCTTATCTGGTGAGGGAGTGCGTTCCCGGCGGTGGTTACCGGTGAGGCCGCACCCCAGGCCTCTTAATGCAGTTCCATCAACACGCGGATTTTTTTTTCCGGTTGGGAACTGCGCGGCACCGGGATTTGAACCACGGACCTCTTGCATTCGAGGCGGATGCTCTAACCACTACGCCATCGCCGCTTTTTTTTTTTTCTTTATTGCCTTCTTTACTACAGGTCAAGCTAATATGACAATCAGCATCACACGTGTTTCATGCGTGATAACGCGTCAAACAAAGATATTACATCTTCAACACAGTCGGTAGTCTAATACACATCTCACACTTTTATAACAGCTTCCACGAAACACTCATTAACGGATATAACTCTCACATCACAGTGTCTGTACGATAGCATACTACGCCAAACCGAATGCAGACCAAGTAAAAATATAACATCCAAATTTTGCACAGAACTATCACAAGGCAAAAAATGAATTCCATATGAAGTAAGAGGTAAATCCGCACCCAGATTGTTATGTTCTAAATGTGCGTTTCAGTGGTGTATCAGTCAAGTTTGTGGTTATTTTTATAAAAATGTTTTAATGAAATGAGATTTCTGCTGATTACCTCCTTAATTAAGGGTCTAGAGAGTACGGAGTTGGGCCTCCGATTAACCTATGAGGTGCTGTTTATTAATACATTAAGCAGACAAAATTTCAATTCGTGTGTGAGGTGATGTTACCAAATTAATCTTTTTAGTGATTAGGCTTAATTTTGGTCACGAAATAGTTCCGGTACTATTACTCCTGTCCTGATGAAACCTGAGCGGCGACAGGTCTACAATCAGGGATTTGCACTGTATGATTTATAAGTTTCCCGGTAGGTTATTAGCAAAGTTAAAAGCGATCGTAAGAAAAAAAAACGTGGTTCAAGACTTTGATCTGGCGGGCGTACCTTTCTCCCGAGCAGTGAGCCACCCTCCTCCTCTGAGCGAGAGAAGACGCGGGCGCCACACGTTTATTAGCGGTTTTTGTTATATTCTTTCTAACTCTGTATCTTCCGGTTACCTTAAGCTATCAAAATTATTTTTACACGGAAAAACCGGACTGTTTTGTTCTAAAAGAAGATATTAGCTAT